AATCTGATAAAGTTTTTTCTTTATTTTCTTTCTATTTCTACTTTCTTTCTTCCCTTCAATATATTAATAATAATAGGTATAGTTATAATTATTATAATTATTAATTGGTTTTTTATGCTTTAAAATCCAAGGATGTTTCAAAACTTCTTCCAAGGATAATCGTTGATCAGGATTTTTTGAAGTAGCTATTTTTTTCTTTAGAGGTAATAAAAATATTTAGAGAGGAGATGATTTATTTTGTAAATATTGAAATAATCAGGATAGCAGTAAAGATAGTAGTTACCAATTTAATAAAATGTTTGGCATCTTCTGATATATGATCAGGCATTGAATACTCCACTCTCACTATTCTTTTGTGTGTACCTTCGCGACCACCTGGTCCTGAAAATGGAACTGTACCAGACAACAGTTCATAACATAAAACTCCAAGATTCCACAAGTCAGCCTTTGAATCATGAACTAGACCATCAACCATCTCTGGTGGAAGATAATCCAATGTGCCACAAAATGTTCTACGTCTTATATATTTTTTAAGTAATGGATATATTATTATAAATAATTAGACATTTTCTACACCAATAATTATAATTAAATCCATTTTTCTTTACCTTTGACCAGGAGCATGTACTGACCAACCAAAGTCAGCTATTTTAAGATCATTGTTTGGACCCAATAAAAGATTTTCAGGCTTAATGTGAAATAGATCACGAGAAACCTACGAAAAACAATTAGACACCTGCCTGTCCCCCGTCCGTTTGTCCCTCCCTTCTACTCTAGATGAATGTGAATTTTTTTAATGCCGCGTTCCTCTGAATTGTGATGTAATTTGCAAAGTTGTCCTTTGACGATATATCCACTATGTCAATTATATTTCGTACGTGAGCATGTATTTATTGCTTTCACTGATAGGAAAAACCTTATTGGTGTGTAGCATTCTTTCCTATTCAATTTTCAATAAAGTAGTCTTAATAAAATTTAATAATAAGTTTGATTACAATGAAATAACATTTCACCCTTCCATACTATTGCAGCGACCCAGTTTCAAGTAAAATCATCATTTCTTGAACTCGGGGCTGAAAGAACAACTTGAAGGAAGTCGTGGTTATGGGTTTGTAAATTTGTCCATCTGCCTAACAGAGGTCAAGGACAAGAGCTTTAACAATGGAATTTACTCAGGATGTGATGTAATGTCACAATTCGGTTGAGGTGAAAACTATATATCTTAATCTTTTTTTTCTTATGTATGTATGTAACATCTTACTAAAAAACGTAAGCGTGATGAGATTGACTTCCAATCGTAGTATTGTTATCCACCAATGCATTTGAATTGATTTTCCTTCGTTAGACTGATCGTCTCATTCAAGCACCTGGTTCAATATCTTCTACGTTTGCTTGTGACTTAAAGATCTCGAGTTAAAGATTTCAGAACAGATTTTTGGATGAATCGTCTCAATTAGTGCTTAATGATAAACAATCTCGTCATGCTCCTAAAACTGAAAATTAAAGATCACAAAATTCATAGATAACTAAAAATCCTTATTATTATACCTCGAGGTCTAGAAATAGATAAAAGGTGGGCATTTGATCCAGGGCTTACTGGCGAAAAGGGTAAACCCCCCTAATTTAGTAACGAGTGTCTTTATTTTTCACATGTGATTAATGGTTTAATCAAGTATCTCATTAGGGCTATGCATCCAGCCCTTGTTTATAAATAATTGCCTTGTAACAACATAATCAATTCAATTCAAAGATAAAATTTTCAATACACAGAATTACATGAATAAATAATCTTGATTTTATTCAATAAAAAAAAAAATCCAATATAACAATAAATAATAAATAATGGAAAATTAAAAATAAAACCTATAATTCTATTAAAATGCAATATACTACACAGCAATAATATAATAATAATAAGATTAATATAATTCAAATCTATTCTATATATGTGTATATATATATAATTTTTAATGTTTGTTTAAAATTCTGATTCTAATTGTTTTTTTTCACCTAATATAATTAAAAAGATACAAGTTAATCAATTTTTTCCAACCATTTAGCAACCATCTAAATTCATAACCTGCTTATATATCATCAGTTGTATTTGTAATTGACATGCTCTCTAATTCGCCGCAAGTAACTTTACTACTGCTTGTACTTTCATTTGATGGAGATTGAGGTGGTTCATACGTACTACCAACTTCTGATTCTGTTAAATTCGTCATGAAATCAAGAAATTGTTCATCTCCAAAGTCGTATAATTGACTGTGATAGATTGGTTTCGACAGTAATTCATCAACTTTTATTCTTTTTTGCTTTTCTTCCTCCTCTTCCTTCCTTTCCTGTAACATCACACCTTTTTCGTAATTATTGTTTATTTGTTCTTTAATTATTTGGTCTTTTTCATTTTTCTCCTTTTCATCATTAATATCTTCCTGCGTATTACTTTTATCCTTATTATCTTTTTTATCGTCATGTTTTTCTTCGTCATTTGGATTATTGTTATTATTATTGTTATTATTCTTCTTCTTGGTTAATGAAAATGAGGATGATGTGGATTGAACCATTTTTGCATTTGTTTTATTGATGCTTAATTTACGTGATCTGTAATTTTCCGCCAACGCAAAATCAGTGTTGATTTTATAAGGTAATTTAGGAGTGTCAATGATTTTTCTTAACCAATCAACTAAAATTCTATGAATGGTCAAAATATCAGGTCTTTTTGTTGCATCAACGTCTAAACATTGTTCCATTAAATTTATCCAGCATTGAGGTATACCATCAATACGTTTAGGTTTTAATCCATCACATATTTCTATTGCTAATTCAATATCGTGAACCCTATCCCCATATATTCTAATTTCTGAAGCCAATTCCCACATAATTATTCCAAAACTATAAATATCTGATTCTCTTAAAAATTTTTTTGTCCTTATAATTTCTGGTGAAAAGAATGGCAATACTCCAAATAATTGGTTTTCTGTTAACTTCCCGTCTGGTTTATGGTTAAAACCCATATCGCTTATAACAACAAATCCCTCTTTTATTATTAAGATGTTACCACCATGAAAATTTCTATGAGTCAGATTACATTGATGAATTGTACTCAATCCACGAGATATATCACATAATAATGCTAACTTAAGCGACCATAACATATTTGGATTTAAGCTTATATATTGATAAAGATCTGATTCTGCATATTCCAAAACAATTATATAATTTTTAGATGATGGATCTTGTGATATACCATAACAATGTACAACACTATTATCCCATACAACATTTTGAAAATACGTTGATATCTAAATTTATATACATATACATATACATATATATATATTAATTAAAATCTTCAAAAAATATATTTATTACATAGATATTTATTAAATATATGATATACTACATAACAATTTATCATATACCTCTTTTAAATGCTCTGATGTAATATTTTCAGAATTATTTAAGAATTTCAAAGCAACCTTTTTATTGTTCTCTCTCGTCCATTTTTTAGGATCTTTTTGATCTTGTATCCATCTTGGACCGTCCAACCAAGTAGCCGAATAAACAATTCCGTATCCACCTTCATCGATCTTTTGTATGTTTCTAAAGCGATTGTGTTGTATCCATTCAACATAATTCAATGGACCTATAGAATTTTTTTGTGTTTCTTGTATAAAATTATCAATATCTTTGTTTCCACTTGTCCAATTTGAAAATCTTTGCTGAAATCTTTTTGATTCGCACATTTGACACCAAATACTATCAGGTTTCAAACATGTGCATACCGGCTTGGAGGCATTGAGTGTATTATTACGTTTTTTAGTAGCTGTTTTCTTATTTGTTATGCTACTATTATTAGATGTATTGGAATCATCTGATTCTGCATGATAGTAATTGGTGTCACTTTGTTGTTGTCTTCTTTTTAATAAAAGTGGCGGAGTTGGAGAAGATGTATACCTTGGACTTGGACTTGGAGATCTTAATTGGTCACGTTTAAGTGATTGTAGTGACCTACCTCTTGTAGGTTCTTTTGTTTCTTTTAATTGTAATTCATGTCTGAAACTTGGTGCCTCTTGTTGTCTCAATAAAATCTTTTTTGCTTGTTCAAGTTGTTTTAATTTAATTTCCTCCTCAGTTAAATGAATATTATTTAGTTGTAATGGCGATGATGAAGTTAATTGAGTTGGTGATGTTACTAAAGTATTATCACTAGATTCTGATGACGAATCATTTATAGTTATTGTACGAGATTTAGATTGATTGTTAGTTGTTGTCGAAGCAGCCTCTGTTGTTATTCCTGAAGGGCTTGTTGACAAAATTGAATTATTAGAATTAGAATTCGAAGAGTCGGATCTTTTTGAATTCGTCTTTAACGGAAGTTTACGTTTCTCTGTTTTAACCTAATAAAAATCAAAAACAGTTAAATTGTTGATAATTTGTAATTTGTAATTTGCTTATTTACTAAAAAAACAATTTTTATAAAAATTACCATTGTAGTTTTTCGTTTAGGAATCTCAATAATTCCAGCTGTTGTTGATTTGTTAGTCATATTTCATATATAAAAAATAAAGAAAAATGATTATAGCTTTAAATTATTATAAAATTTTAAAAGCAAAGGGAATAATAATTAAATAATAAAAAGACAAATAAAGCAGCTTAAAAAAAAAAACCACCACACAATAAAAATAGTAATAGTAATTATTTTGAGAGGACAAGCAGGTTGCACCGATCAACGGAGAACAAGGCGTTTCAGGGTTTTGATTTTCGGCCCCCGTTTTTTAACCCTTGGTATGATACATTTTGTGGTAAATTTAGGTAATTATTGCCTGTACCACCTATTTGCGAGAGAGTAAGTTGTAAGTACTCTTAGAATAGGACAGTTTCAGTATGAGTGAAAGAATTACTTTTATTATCATTACTGTTGTTAACATTGCCTTTGAAGTATTTTGTGAGTATAAATGGATGAAAATGAATTAGTAAGATAAAATGTTAATATTGAACAAATAATTATGGTTATTGCATTGTTAAACACCGACTTTCTTTGTTTGATGATCTACAGGGTTTGAAATTTGGCATGCATATATATATATATTAGTATACAAAAAAATTTTATTTTTCAATACGTATGACTGATTTGATCAAGGCACAAGCTTTGCTTAATAAAGTTCAAGTCATTCATTTATCCAAGAATTTTTTACGCCACCTTGTCGATCAATTCATATACATTTCATATGTACTGAAAAAATTATAAAATAAATAAATACCTTTAAACTTATACTTTCTTAATCCACTAGGCGTTTTTCTTAATCCAATGATCTGCTCAAAGTATGAGAAATTTATCTACCAGAAGTAAATTTGTTGCCTTTATGCCAAACTTTGTTCTTTTCAGTATCAGATTCATTAGAAATACTTTTCCATGCTTATTTGCAGTTCTTACTCTGAAAAAAAGTTGAAGCCAAACTTAATTAATGTTGGGGTAAGCTTGGTAATGGGACGTATAAAATGTTTTACTAACTATTTCCCAGAATTATAGAATTTTTAGAAAATTATTCTCTTTGTGAAGGGCACCAATGATAATTTCCTTGAATGTTTACAAACATCTGATCCAACTTTCAATTTTTCTATCAACACAAATCTATTTGTACAAATATTGATGATTCATTACTTCAACAATCTTTTGAAACAAAAATTTATGGAGCGGGAATTCAGGTATTCTCAATAAATATCTTGAATATCTTTTATCAGAGTCAGTGAGAAAATTAAAGAATTCAGAGTAGATTATAATTAATGATCAGGATTGATTTAGCTTAGATAGTCTTTTAGGATATTCTACTTCTGAATGGCTTGCTAAGCAAAATTCAGTAGTTGTGGAATTTATAAAAACACTTACAACACATGAAAATGAAAATCCCCTTGAAGAACAACTTTTTAAATGAAAGAAAAATTACTATTGATTTTGTAAGATATCCACAATGGAGCTGACAATGGTGAAGCAGAAGAGACAATCTGAAAGGGAACAGCAGCAACAAGCAAATATGAAGATGATTGAATCATGTGTAATAAGATAAGTATCATTCAATATATAATTTATTGATTATTTAATTCTAAATTTTTTGTCAACCCAGAAATTTGATCCTTTTAATTAATAATATTTTATTTCCCTTTAAATTATTTTTTAGATGTAGCATTCATTCAACATACACAGTGAGTCTCGGTATAACGGATATGTTTGTTCCAGGAAA